TGCCGGGGGGAGTCGGGGGGGGGGGGGCACCTGGGGGGGTCTGGGGTGTCACTTTTGTGTGTTTGTGTGGGGGTGCTCCTCGTCCTGAGGTCACAGAAACCCCTCCTTGGGGTTGGACTTGGTGGTCCAGCGGTTGGACTGGGTTGTCCAGGGTTGGACTTGATCCGATGGTTGGATTCAGTGATCCAGCGGTTGGACTTGATCCAGTGGTCGGACTTGGTGATCCACTGGTTGGATTTGGTGATCCAGTGGTTGGATTCGGTGATCCAGTGGTTGGATTCGGTGATCCAGTGGTTGGATTTGGTGATCCAGTGCTTGGACTTGATTCAATGGTTGGATTCAGTGATCCAGTGCTTGGACTTGATCCAGTGGTTGGATTCGGCGATCCAGTGGTTGGATTCGGCGATCCAGTGGTTGGACTTGATCCAGTGGTTGGATTTGGTGATCCAGTGGTTGGATTTGGTGATCCAGTGGTTGGATTTGGTGATCCAGTGGTCGGACTTGGTGATCCAGTGGTTGGATTTGGTGATCCAGTGGTTGGACTTGGTGATCCAGTGGCTGGACTTGATCCAGTGGCTGGATTTGATCCAGTGGTTGGACTTGATTCAGTGGTTGGACTCGATGGTCCAATGGTTGGACTCAATCCAACAGTTGGACTGCGTTGTCCAGGGTCGGACTTGATCCAGTGATTGGACTCGGTGGTCCAGTGATCGAACTTGATCCAGCAGTTGGATTTATTGACCCAAAGTTTAATTAACCCAAAAATTATTGACCCAAAGTTTAATTGACCTAAAGTTTCCTCAATCCAAGGATTCGTCGACCCAAATATTTATTGACCCAAATATTGGTTGGCCCATGAATTCATTGACCCAAAGATTTGTTGACTCAAAGATTAATCAACCCCAAAATTTATTGACCCAGAGTTTTATTGTGGTTGGACTCTGATCCGGTGGTTGGACTTGATCCAACAGTTGGATTCGTGGTCCAACAGTTGGACTTGGTGATCCAGTGGTTGGACTTGGTGATCCAGTGGCTGGATTTGATGATCCAGCAGTTGGATTTGGTGATCCAGCGGTTGGATTTGGTGATCCAGTGGTTGGATTTGGTGATCCAACATTTGGCCTGGATGTTCCAGTGGTTTCACTCAATCCAGTGGTGATTCCAGGGTTATCCCTGATCCAGTGGTTGGATTTGGTGATCCAGTGGTTGGATTTGGTGATCCAGCGGTTGGATTTGGTGATCCAGCGGTTGGATTTGGTGATCCAGCGGTTGGATTTGGTGATCCAGCGGTTGGATTCGGTGGTCCAGCGGTTGGATTCGGTGGTCCAGCGGTTGGATTCGGTGATCCAGTGGTTGGATTCGGTGATCCAGTGGTTGGATTTGGTGATCCAGTGGTTGGATTTGGTGATCCAGTGGTTGGATTTGATGATCCAGTGGTTGGACTTGATCCAGTGGTTGGATTTGGTGATCCAGCAGTTGGATTTGGTGATCCAGTGGTTGGCCTGGATGTTCCAGTGGTTTGGCTCAATCCAGTGGTGATTCCAGGGTTATCCCTGATCCAGCGGTTGGATTTGGTGATCCAACATTTGGCCTGGATGTTCCAGCAGTTGGAGTCGATCCCACAGGTGGATTTGGTGATCCCCAAGGCACCAAACTTATCGATCACTGACAATTCATGCCCAGAATTTCCTGAGCTCTCCGGGCTGGACATTCCCGGGTGTCCCCCCTGTCCCTTGGAGTGTCCTGAGAGACCTCGTGAGGAGCGGCTGGGGGGGCTCAGCCTGGACAAAGGGAGGCCCAGGGGGGATTTTCTTCCCTTGGGATTTTCCTCCCTTGGGATTTTCCTCCCTTGGGATTTTCCTCCCTTGGGATTTTCTCTCTTGGGATTTTTCTCCTATGGGATGTTTTTCCTTGGGATATTCTCCCACGGGTTGTTCTCCCTTGGGCTGTTTTCCCCTGGAATGTTCTCCCTTGGGATCTTCTCCCCTGGAATCTTTTCCCCTGGAATCTTTTCCCCTGGAATCTTCTCCCCTGGAATCTTCTCCCCTGGAATCTTCTCCCCTGGAATCTTCTCCCCTGGGATCCAGTGAATGACTCCCTGACCCCCCTGAGGTCCCTCTCCCAAGGCTGTTCCATGTCCTCGGGGCAGGAAGGAGTTCCCATTCCTTCGGTTTCCACGGCAACGGCACCTCCAGCCCTTCCCTCTTCCCCAATCACCCCAAAAACCAGAAGCCCCTTCGGGATTCATCCTGGTGATCTCAGGAGCCGCAGTAATTCCCATCTCCCGCTTCTCCCACCGCTGCTCACGCCCTGGGAAGGGTCACCCCTTTCCCCCCTGACTTTCAGGAATCCCTCACCCACCAAAAACCCGGAATTTTGGTGCCCTTGGGGTTCAAATTTTCCCTCTCCCCGAGTTTTATCCGACTCTGTTCAATCCCAAATCTTGGGAGGCTGGTGGGGAGGAAATCCGGGAGCTGAGCCAGGTTGGGCTCCTGGATCCACCCCCGGGGGATGAGCCAGAGGAACCTTCAACCCTGGATGGTTTTTCCTTCCGGGGCTGATTTCTCCCTCCCCTCTCCCCCCGCAGGATTATTACAAGATCATCAAAACCCCGATGGACATGGGAACAATAAAGAAGCGCTTGGAGAATAATTATTACTGGAACGCTCAAGAATGTATCCAGGATTTCAACACCATGTTTACAAACTGCTACATCTACAACAAGGTAGGGATTGGCCTCTTCCCAAGGCGGGGAATTGTCCTGGGAAGGAGCCCCTTGCCCAGCTCAGCTCCCGAGGGGGAACAGTCAGGAATTGGGATTGTGGCTCGGCTTTTCCCACCCCCTGCAATGACCTGCAGGGATCTCCAGGCCGGCCGTGGATTCTTCCCCTCCTGGAAGGAAGATTTCCTGGAGTCAGGGCTGGAGCAGAGCCTGGAATGTTGTCAGATCCTTGAGGAGTCAGTTCTGGCCTTCCCTGTTTCCCCAGCTCTGTTGGGAAGCTGGGATGAGCTTGGGATGGGGGTGGGGAAGAGCCAGGGATGTTTGGAATGTTGAGTTTGCTGTGGATTCCCAAACTTCTCGGAGGAAAATCTCTCCAGGCAGTGACCAACATCCCTCTTTTCCCTCTTCCACTTGGAAAAGCACCTTCCCTGCCCATCCCTGTTTTTTTTCTCCATCCCTGGTTTTTTTTCTCCATCCCTGTTTTTTTTTTCTCCAT